TCCGGGAAGCTGGAAGCCCTTAAAGTTTCCAGCCGCGATCAGCTGATCGCAAGCCCCCGTTAACTAAGGCAGACCTAGTTAGACTAGTAGTAGGGGCAACCGAGCGCACGAGAGCGAGCGAGACCGCCGATACGAGACCGATCGGACGTGAGTGAGGGGAATCGGCAAGACCTTACGAGCAATAGATAGAAAAGGATAGACAAGCGACGCTAGTTGACCAGCCAATCGTTATCGGCTTAGGGGTGGTTAGGCTAATGAGACGAAACCGACGCTATCTCCGCGACCACTAGGCAAATTAGGCGCGAAGGACTGACCAATGAATAAATTACGCGGGCTGGAAAGATCGGTATAGACGGCGCTGAGACCCGGCTTAGCAACAAGCCGACCAATCAACAAATGGTTAATGGGAGGTAAGCTAGGAGAAGCGACGCGTCGCCGAAAAACGGCGCGCCAGTACCCGTTGAGCCCTGTTGACGAGCGGTACTCGTCGAACCGCTGACGAGCAGTGCCCGCTGAACTCCGGTGCCGACCGGTGTGCCGCTGAGCCCCGGAGCCACAAAGGAATTTCCGCGCGAGTGCTCGAACATAATTGAGAATAGTGAAGCAGAAAAGTAGTGATAGAAGCAGAAAATAGAAGCAGAAAGAAGCAGAATTGTGAAGCAGAAAAGTAGTGATAGAAGCAGAAAGAAGCAGAAAAGTAGTGATAGAAGCAGAAAATAGAAGCAGGAAGAAGCAGAATAGTGAAGCAGAAAAGTAGTGAAAAGCAGTAATAGAAGCAGTGATAGGAGCAGTGATAGGAGTAGTGATAGAAGCAGTGATAAAGACAGTGATAAGGAAATAGTGATAGGGGAGCAGAGTAATAAAGTAGCAGCGACAGCACCCGCAACAGTAGCAGCAACGGCGACGCCAACGACGATCTTAGCGACCGCTACAGCGGCCTTGGCGGCGGTGGCCGCAACCGCGATCACCCTTAAAATCTACCGGAGTAAGTACGCTTTTCTTCCATTAGTTCTTGCATGACCAACGAACGCGAAATTGCCGCGTAGTTGCCGACCGCTGCGTTTCGGGAGTGCCGCACGACCTTCGCGCGACCGATGATACGACATTCGTGCCTACTTGTTGCCGACCTTTTGAAAATCTCTTTTGTCGAGCCGTCGTAGTATCCATTATCCGGAAGACAAAGTCGCCCGTGATTGCCGAACGTCCGCGGTACGGGAGTGTCGTACGACCTTCGCGCGCCTTACGCTTCGCGATCATACATGTTTACCGCCGATTTTCCGAGCTTTCCCTTTGTTGCGTCGTCTCATTGTTCCGTATCCGAAAGGCGAAATCGCCGCGTGATTGCCGAATGTCCGCGGCGCGGGTATGTCGCATGACCTTCGCATATTCGTCTGCGTTGTTGGGCGTGTTTTCGCCACCGACCTTCCGAGCATCGTCCTGTGCGTCGTTATACCGTTGATATCCGAGAAACGAGTTTTCTAAGTGTGCACGTCTATGAATTCCTTTCCCAAAGCCGGTTGAAAACATTACGCGAGTCGCGCCAGACCTTCGCTTGACCGGCAAAGTTTCGGTGCACATTGTTGTCTTTTTTTCGTTACGCGATCGTCGTTCTGAAGTGCTAACAACATCGCGAGCAGTGACTAGCCTTCGCGCGACCGACCGAATTCCTAGGCGTATTTACCTCGAATGAGCTGGAACTTTAGCCGCGAGTAAACAACTCAATATTGCGTAACTATATCCGAGACCCAAAATTATTCATCCGAGCTATTGTCTGCCTAGATTGACTTCGCGTCGTAGTGCGCCACTCGTGTCCCCCATTAACCTAGACCAGGCTAACCATCGCGAGGGATAGATCACTGGGTTGCCCTGGGAGATCTTGGCCTAATAAATCTGTTTTTTCGGGAGTGAGAAATAAATCTATTTTAGAAAGATTAATTTTCATTTGGTGTAAGGCTTTCTGCAAAGATTTTAGGTTGCTAGAGTATAGTGCTATGTCGTCTGCGAATTGAGATATAGAAACCCGATTGGAAATGTTTTTAACAATGTCGGCTACAAAAATGATATATAGGAGTGGACTTAGAACACCTCCTTGTGGGACGCCTTTATATGTAATTTTAGGCTCTTTGAGTTCTTCAGCATAAACTAGCCCCCTAAATGTGATGAACTTTATAAATTTAATTAATACTAGCGGGCAGCCTATTTTGGCAAGTTTATCAAGTAATATCTTTATATTTACATTATCAAACGCTCCTTTTACGTCAAGGAATGCTGCATACATATCTTTGTTTTTACATAAGGCTGTTTGAACCGTGATCGTTAAGTTCAGTAAGTTGTCTATACACGATTGGCCTTTACGAAAACCACTTTGGCTATTCGGAAGAATGTCTTGGGTTTCTATCCACCATTGAAACTTATTTTTAATCATGGTTTCAAATAGTTTACATAGAGCGGAAGTAAGAGCGATGGGTCTATATCCTTTGTTATCTGGCTTCGGTATGAGGTGTACATATGACTTTTTCCAATCTGTGGGAAAATCGCTATTCTTGTACATTTCGTTGAAAATATCGAGTAGTGTAAGTTTGAACTTAATCGGGAGCTTTTGCAAGGTGAAATAGTCTATGCCGTCTAAGCCGGGAGACGAGTTTATGTTCCCCCACACAGCATGCAATATTGCTGCAATATTGCTGCAATGTTTCATGAAAGGTTTGAAACATTTCTGCAAGCTTGCATTGAAATATTTCTAAAATATTGCTATGTCCGCGAAATTGTGGCTGCAGCAATGTTGCAGGAAAGGTTGTAGCAACTTTTTTCGCAATATTTCTGCAAGGTTTTCATGCAATCTTCCTAAAATATTTCTAGAAACATTGCAGCAACCGTTCTTGCAATATTTCTGCAAGCCTTCACTGAAATATTTCTAAAATATTGCTATGTCCGCGAAATTGTTGCTGCAGCAATATTGCAGGAAAGGTTGTAGCAACTTTTTTCGCAATATTTCTGCAAGGTTTTCATGCAATCTTCCTAAAATATTTCTAGAAACATTGCAGCAACCGTTCTTGCAATATTTCTGCAAGCCTTCACTGAAATATTTCTAAAATATTGCTATGTCCGCGAAATTGTTGCTGCAGCAATATTGCAGGAAAGGTTGTAGCAACTTTTTTCGCAATATTTCTGCAAGGTTTTCATGCAATCTTTCTAAAATATTTCTAGAAACATTGCAGCAACTTTTCTTGTAATATTTCTGTGGATTTCCATGCAACCTTTATAAAATATTTCTGGAAACATTGCAGCAAGTTTTCTTCAAATATTTCTGCTGGTTCCCATAGAATGTTTCTAAAATATTTTTAGAAAAATTCCTGCAATTTTTCTGACAATATTTCTGCAAGGTTTTCATGCAATCTTTCTAAAATATTTCTAGAAACATTGCAGCAACCGTACTTGCAATATTTCTGCAAGGTTTACATGTAATCTTTCTAAAACATTTATAGAAAAATTGCAGCAACTTTTCTTGCAATATTTCTGCTGGTTCCCATGGAATGTTTCTGAAACATTTATAGAAAAATTGCAGCAACTTTTCTTGCAATATTTCTGTGGGTTTCCATGCAACCTTTATAAAATATTTTTGGAAACGTTGCAGCAAGTTTTCTTCAAATATTTCTGCTGGTTGCCATGGAATGTTTCTAAAATATTTTTAGAAAAATTCCTGCAATTTTTCTGACAATATTTCTGCAAGGTTTTCATGCAATCTTTCTAAAATATTTCTAGAAACATTGCAGCAACCGTACTTGCAATATTTCTGCAAAGTTTACATGTAATCTTTCTGAAACATTTATAGAAAAATTGCAGCAACTTTTCTTGCAATATTTCTGCTGGTTCCCATGGAATGTTTCTAAAATATTTTTAGAAAAATTCCTGCAATGTTTCTGACAATATTTCTGCAAAGTTTTCATTCAATCTTTCTAAAATATTTCTAGAAACATTGCAGCAACCGTACTTGCAATATTTCTGCAAGGTTTACATGTAATCTTTCTGAAACATTTATAGAAAAATTGCAGCAATTTTATTTGCAATATTTCTGAAAGACGTTGACGCAATTTCACTGAAAAATTTCTAACAATATTGCGAATACTTTACTTGCAATATTTCTTTAATTTTGCTTGCACGAATATTGAAATATTTCAGTTGAAATATTTTAGTTGAAATATTTTAATATTCGTGCAAGCAAAATCACAGAAATATTGCAAGTAAAGTATTCGCAATATTGTTAGAAATTTTTCAGTGAAATTGCGTCAACGTCTTTTAGAAATATTGCTATAAAAATTGCTACAATTTTTCTATAAATGTTTATAAATTTTTCTAGAAATATTTCAGTTGAAATATTTTAATATTCGTGCAAGCAAAATCACAGAAATATTGCAGAAAAATCACATTGATGAAAAGTTTCCAATATTATAGACATTTTCAAGACGCAGTATAGAATTGACTATCAGAAATATTTATACTATACCTTGCAATGTCTTCGTGACTTTTAGTTATATATGTGTATAAACAAAAGAAATGTTATAGGAAACATTTAATAATTCTAAATTAGTGGTTACGTCAACTTTATTAAGAAAATATTTATTTTTTCATTATATTATTTTTAAATATTTATTTACGTTACACCTAATACGATGTTTTTTGTAATGACAAATTAATAATTTTATGGTATAATTTAAAAATGTTTTTACAAATATTGAATCAATTTCGCAATGAAAATCGCAGCATTTTTTCCGTATTATTTCTAAAGCTTTAGTTGAAAAGTCATATAAATGTTATTTAGAAATAATTAAGAAATTTACGATATAAAAACCTAGGATAATTAAAATATATGATACTAAAATAGTGATTTTTAGAATATTTATGTTAAAAGAAAAATTGGTAGGAGTGGGTAACGTTTAGGAATAATTATTTATATGTACACATACACAACAATTAAATGAAAATTATGAGGTCCACCAAAATGACCTTTGCTTTTATTATAAGTAATAGTTATAGATTTTTACAGTTTGTAATTTATATAATAAGTCAAAAATAATTTAGTGAAAAAGTATGTCATTTTTCTTCTCTACGCATGATCAGATTTATCATCTGTTCCATCCAATTGTAGTGGCAATATAAATGAGTCAGACTTCCGGTTAGATTTTCTACAACAATTATATAAATTATATTCATAACTCATACACACCTATAATTTTGTTTTTTGATACTTACTGACTACGTTTGAATCTAGTGGAGGCTTGATCCAAGAAACTACATAGCGATTTCTTTATATCGTCGTCCGTAGCCTTAGGGAATGATAACTTTGAGGCCGCTAAAAATTATAATAAATTATAGATTTTAAATTACGTTACATTTATATATACAAAAAAACTTACTGTAAATGCATTTGCAGATGTAAAGTTCCGAGAAACATTTATTCTTTTCTTCACCCCTGGATTTTCTCCCGTAGAAACTATAGTTTTGTAAAACCTCATCGTTGATCAGCTTTGGTACCATGTTGTATATCAAGTCATGTACATTGACACCTCCAGCTCCTTGAAGATGTTCTACCTGAAATTTCGTTCAACAAAAGACAACAAACATATGATTAATTTAGTATATTTTTATCTTTACATGGTTAAGCAAATTTAAATCATAGTATCAAATCGTAACATTAAATTGAATAAAATGTATACGGACAAATATATAATAATGATGAATCATGCTATGGAATGTGGTGACGTTTCAATGCCGAACAAAAATTGTTACAATCTTAGAAATAACCATTACCAAAAAGTCAAAAAAATAAACATGCAGGTATGATCACACCAATACAAATATAATAATGTGTAAACATTTTGTCAATACAAATAGAACTCTAGTTATGATGCCCATAAATAAATTAATCATCATTTATAATAGTATGTGTTAAAAATCTGTTGCATATCTCAACACACAAAATAAATACAGTCTAAAGAGGATAAAGTTTTTTTTACTTTGCTAACTTATTTTCCCATCGTGCAAACTTTCATGTTCCCTTTCCAAATCGAATAAAAGGTACCATTTCCCTATAAACGGAAATCAACAGAAAATGGAATACCATTTAACAGAACCATCGATTACAAATATAGTATTTTACCTAATTTAATTAATCTACAAATAAAATAGTTATAATAAATAAATTACGGGACATAGTAAGAAGGTATTTGTCAAGAAGAATGTTTATCGAGTATATTGTTTAGGTAGTTATAGATTATCTTTGAGTTGCGTAGTTATGGTTTTAGTCAATAAAAATGTACGTCTTTCATATAAGAGATGTACTTATATCTGTATTAGTGATAGGTATGTTACTATATCGTCGTAGCCAAAGTATTATGAAAACCTGATAGTGAAAATATCCAATGTTACACTAATGAATACAATTTCTACCACTGCAATCTATATTTAACTACTTACGTCGAGCAATATTTGATTTCCTTGATTGCAGCATTTATCCAAAATTCCTATGACATATGCAATGATTGAGTCATTAATTATTATTATTATTATTACATATCTCGAGATATCCTGTAGGAATATGCAAAACAGATCGAACCGTTCAACGATAAAGTTTTCTCTCTTCCTGTTGCTGCACTGCTGCACGGCATCTACTATGTATGTTCAACCAATTAAGGTGACTTTAAATTTTGTGGTTATCGTACATTCGATCATCGATTTTTCCATTTACTTATGTTGGTACACGCGCCAGGACCATACGAGCTGGTCTTTTCAAAGTGTCGCGAATTTAGAATTTCCGCGGACTACGTATATTCGATTTTTTTTGTGGTGTTATGTTGGTACACATGTCCCTAACTTATGCTGGCAAGGTCGGCTATTTTGAGCGCTCAATTAGTTTTTTGACATCTGTTTTGCAGTTTTGATGTGTTTTGGCTCGTTGGCGAAGTTTACCTATCCCAAAAAATGGATCAAAGAATCTGTATTCAGTTTTGTGTGAAATACCAAATTAAGTGCGCAGAAGCATGTCGAATGTTGACTGCGCCATATGGCGAAGCTCCCTTAGACCAAAGTAATATATATCGTTGGTACAAAATGTTCTCAGAGGGCCGAGAAGATGTAAACGACAAAGAGCGTGCCGACGCCCGAGTACGTCAACAACAATCGAAAATAATAATGGGGTGAAGAAAATAGTATTGGCCAATCGCCGAATAACCGTTAGAGAAAATACTGAAGACCTAAGCATATCGATTGGTTCGTGCTATTCGATTATAACCAATAACTTGAGCATGAAACGTGTGGCAGCGAAATTTGTTCCGAAATTGCTAAATTTTGACAAAAAAGAGTGTCGCATGAACATCGTTAAAGTGCTGTTGAATGACGTCAATGACGATCCAGATTTCCTTAAAAGGGTCATAACAGGTGACGAAGCATGGTTATATGGTTATAGCGTCGAAACAAAGACTCAATCGTACCAGTGGAGGCACACTGAATCACCAAGACCAAAAAAAGCACGCCAAGTTCGATAAAGAGTGCATATAGTTGCAAGAACTCAAGGCTAGATCGAAAAGTGCTTTGAAGATTAGAAGGAGCCCTGTAGATTCTGCACGAAAAAATTCTACACAAGCCGATTAGAATAGCGTTGACACAGGTGTATTGTACTTGGGAAGGGGTGTGAGGGGGTCACTTTTAAGGTTACAACATAAATATCGATGAATATAATTCGCGCCTGCCTCTACCTTTTTCCCCTTGCAACCCATTGACTCTAGTCAATTTATTCGCGTTGTTATCTGCCTACGCTCTATGCGGGCCATGAGGCATAGTTGCCTTCATCGGCGTCCTGTATTACCGTGCACTAAGTTTGACCTTGAGGACCATTGCACTTGCCTTACGGCGTCGTTATACTCACCAATTACCAGGTATACAAGATTTTATTACAGAAGCGAGCTCTAGTATTCCCGAAGGATTTTGGTGCGCTTAATCCAAATCTGGCCTCAGAATTATTTCATCACGTCCGGTTTTTAAGATATCCTAACCTAAGAATGCAAAAAACACTGTTTTTTTGACATATTTATGGTTATGTAGCATCGTAAATAAATTTTATCACAGAAAACTATTAAGAGCATCTTAAAATATAAATCTTCCCCTTTAAAATGCTGTTGAATTTGCCCAAATATCTTGTTTTTTCACCAAGATATCTCATTTTGAAATTTTCATATTTATGAATTTCTCAAAATTCGAAAATCCATTAACTGTTTGTTCCTGGAATTTTTCTGTTCAGTGAATTTACTTGAAAATTATTACTTGGGAGTCTCTGGGGTTGCTGATCATGAATCTGAAGTTAGAATTTCAAAATTTTCAATTCAAGATTGGGTGTTCAAGATAGCGGTTCCCAAAATTTTGAAAAAAGATATTCACGAGTTTGAACGAAAGATCAGACAATTGTACGTCAGAAATATCAATTCCTAACAAAAGATCCTTTTATTCCTGACAAAAGATCAATTGAAAAGAGTAAATGAAAATCATCCACTTGGGTCTTCATGGGTTAGTGGATTTTCGAATTTTGAGAAATTCATAAATATGAAAATTTCAATATGAGATATCTTGGTGAAAAAAAAAATATTTGGGCAAACTCAACGGCATTTTAAAGGGGAAGATTTATATTTCAAGATGCTTTTAATAGTTTTCTGTGATAAAATTTATTTACGATGCTACATAACCATAAATATGTCAAAAAACAGTGTTTTTTGCACTCTTAGGTTAGGATATCTTAAAAACCGGACGTGATGGAATAATTCTGAGGCCAGATTTGGATTCAGCGCACCAAAATCCTTCGGGAATACTATAGCTCGCTTCTGTAACTGAAAATGACCTATTATTTGTATACTTGTGAATTATTTTTCTTCCAATCAATATTTATAACGAAAAATTAATCCCGACGATAACACATAATGATTAGGCAATTAGAATCCGGAAATTTCTATTTCACATACATACACATACACACACACACACATATACTCACCACAGCCTTTGCAAATTTTTTATGTAGTAATTGGGCTTCTACTTTATCAATTTTTTTCTTTTCATTATTCACATCTGCATCAATTGGAAAATGTTCATTCAACATTTTTAAATGATCTTGCGAAAGGACATTAGGTTTCGATGAAACCTGAAACTGTCTTCTTTGATTTTTTAATAATTTTTCATTACTTTCTTGCTTCTTGGTAAGATAATTGACTTTTCTAAGAATGAGTTTCTGCATATCTACGTAAAATTAATAAAAGTTTTATTAAACACTTCGTCTATTTATCATATCAGTATTTAACGAATACATTATACACAGGATGGATAATGAATACGAAACTCCAATATCAAATGAGTTATATGTTTTAAAAACGTGCGATTTCGAAAAAAAAAAAATATTCCTAAAAATATTTACGAAACTAAACCTAAAAGTTTGAATACATATGGGAAAATCTCACAAGTTGTTGCAATTTGATGAAAAAAATTTTTTTTTTCCAAAATGATGGCACATTTTTTTTTTATGGTTATTCGCTATAAGATAAGCTTCAGGAACGAGAATTCGTAGGTGTACCTCGTTTTTAAAAAATGTTCAAAAAGTTACACGCAAAAAAAAATTATAGTAGATTATTTCATTCTTTATTACGTAGATAATCAAAATTAAGAAGTTATTCAAGAATTTTCATGGTTGTGGGATAGCCTTATGTAAATGTGTTACACTTTTGCCCCTATCATGTTGGTTTCCTTTATAAGCATATAAAAAACCCTAAAAAAATCGTAAAAATGACTTTGTTTTTTAATAGTTAAAAAAAGAAAACCTACTAACAGGAAGTAATACAGGAAGTAATAAATAGAACTAGTTGTTGAAAAATGAATGACTGCGATTTTTTCATTAAGTAGCATATAATTATTGAATTATTTATTTTACGGAAAATGGAATAATATTAACGTATACCCATTTTTACGTGCATTCAACCTTGTGGATATGATAATCAACATAATTTTTAAATCTTAATCAATTTTGAACGTAAAAACTGAATCGGATGAAATATACAACTTTTTGATTTTAATGAAAATGATGAAAAAAAAAAGAAAATGTAGAAATTATTATGGAACATTTTTATACAGAACAGATTATCAACCTTTTTTAATTCAATAGGTTGATGTGCTCTTCAAAAATCATAAATTTTTTTTCCAGGAAACAAATGGTATGCTTTATACATAGTCGTATATTTTTTTCATTATCGTGAGCACACTCTTCTGTAAAAGCTAGAACGACTTGTCTTGAAGAGAAAAACAAGTTTTAGTAATAAAATATCATGTATAAAATATGTTCAAGGTTCCAGAATCGAAATCGCCAAATTTTGAAATTTTTGTAATTAGTGACAGTCGTATTATAGGTTGCCATATCCTCCATTTTGATGGCACAGTCTTGAAACTTCACAGTAATACTAGTTTTTAGTCCTTCTTTCATTACCTCAAACCATGAAACTGTACTTTCAATGTTCACTTAGTTATAAAATAGACAAGATAAAAATTTTTTCGAGTGACAGATTTAAAATGTTATTTTTCAATCTTTTTTTACTTTTATGATTATTATATTCGACAATACTTCAAATATTTCACTTTATACTTATACGACCTACTTCTTTGAGCTTTATACTTGAAATAAAAAATTATTGGCACATGGGAAAAATGTTAGTTTTTCCTACACAAGCGAGGGACCAAAAATTAACAACTTCTGAGATTTGCACATATATGTAGATAATTTTACGTTAACTTAACGGATCAAAAACGTTTTCTACTCGATACCGGCCGCTATAGATGAATAGGCTAGTAGCAGCCGACAAGAAAAATAGTATACGACACTCGACTAGATTGCTGGATACCCTGGCCGGTATGGTTTGACGCCCGAGGCGATGCCTCCAACTTTCTGGCCACGTATCGTAATATACTATTTTATCCGTTAACTTTACATAAAACTACCCATACATAAATATACTCGTGTTATCCATTACAAAATCCAAGATGATAGCACGATAAGCTGTTAAATTCAAGTGCTGATATGAAATCTACAGACTTTTTAACGATTGATATTAAGGAAAATTTAATTACCATAAATTTTTTGTAAGCTTGGTGCGGTTTCCCTCCCCATCTCCTCAATTTCATCTACATCTGAATCTTGAAACTGATTACAAGATATTTGTTTGGTTGCAACATTAGATACTGACGATTTGTTCGGTTGTAATACATTGACCTGCGCTGATATTCCTTCCAAGTTCAACGTAGCATACGAAGGAGACTTCTCTATAGCTAAAGGATCTTGTTGCAAAGAATCATCGTTTCCATCAGTATCATTTGATTCACTATTGTAATTTACTTCTTCAAGAGGATTGCGTTTCTTCGGGATTACATAATCATTTGACAAACGTTTCTTGTTCCGTCGTTTTCTAGTTCTTTTCAAATTTTCAGCATCACTTGGGTCCGTTACATTTTCAATTCCATGTAAATTTTTCTCTTCCACCGCAGTTGGGTAGTCCACTGAAATATTTCAATATATATATATATATACACACACACACACACAAAAGTGATTTCACTTCAACTCCTGGAGTCCAAAATTTTATTGTATAATGTTAATTCATGCTATAGGTCTTTTAAGTATGTTTATTTTATATATTTTCTATATATTTTATATATTTTTTCATATTTTTAAAATAAAAATAGGATTTTTAGTACATACACATCAGAATACCTGTAGCACACATTGGCGTTTAAAAAAAAAAAAAAAGTTTTTGACTCCGCGAGTTGAAGTGAAATAATCCGTGCGCGCGCGCGCGCGCGCGTGTGTGTGTGTGTGTGTGTGTGTGTGTGTGTGTGTGTGTGTATAGATATATTAATCCTTACAACAGAATTTCACTACTTTTTGGAGAGGTTTCTCAACGTAATTTTCATCGGGATCAGTATCATCTACTATAGCTTGTTTAATATCGGCTGTTGATACGTTATTTGGAGGAAAACTGTAGGATTTTCTATCATAAGAAAGCCAGCGACTAGGTATGATAATTTTGTTACTTTTTTCGTCAACGATTATTACGTATTTACGAGTCATCTTTGCACTCTGTAAGTTCAAAAATTAAATGAATAAAGATTATAACGATTATAATTATCAATAATGATGTACAACTTATGACACGTAATGGATGAATAGAAAATTTTACAATTTTCATTTTCAGTTGGTTCATATTTTATATTGCATTATTGACAAACATTCATTAAACTTTGAATAATTTAAAGAAGATATTTCATCACTTTGTCTAATAAATCCCGATAAAATCTGGTCATTTAGTTATACAACAATATCAGTATGCTTTAATAAACATTACAACTTGTATGAAAAAAAGCATTAATAATGAATTGAAATATTTTTTTATTGTTGACAGGGCTAACAGGGACATGCTCCTTATTGAAGTATAAAAGTCGCCATATTAAGTTATTGGCCTCCCTTTTTTTATCTTGTAGTACTCGGTAGTAGCTTTCGTTTACTTTATTTTATGTCGAAAAGTTTTATTTATGCGCCTAATACAGGCATTATGTACGTATAGCCACTTATTTTTTGAAAATATTAACTTTCTCACGCGTTTTGTGCGTTAGTGTGAACGATAATCATTTTTGGAGAGCTCACTGTTTTTCTTAACATCGTTTCTGTGAATAAGCAGAGCCGATTTTTAAAAGTTGATGTTTTATTTTTAAGTACATATGAAAAAAAAATTTTATTTTCTAAATTATTTTCTTTCAAACTGACTCAAAATAATCTAAGAATCAACTTTTTCAAATAACTGTTCCGCTCATTGTAGATTAGAGATCTTAACAAATAAGAGCAAAATCTACAAAAACGATTTCCCCTTATTACTTTAACACCCAAAGTGGTAAAGTAGATTTTTTTGTCTAAATAAGGTGATACGTAAATCGTGGCTGTATTGGACGGAGAATTAGAATTTTCTGACCTATAATAAAGCAAACAAAGGCTTTTATCGAGTAACTTAGATAGTAAATGTTTCAGGTCGATCCCTTTATTAGGACGATTTTTATACGTCAATAATAATTCTCATGTTGAAAAATGACACTTTTCTTAGACAATATCAATTTGATAGAATCTACGGAAAAGAACGTTAGTTAGAAATGAAATTAATTAAATGAAGACCCTAACATTTTATTATTACAACAATTAGGTCGTCTTATGTTCCGGATGAATGTGTCATAAAAAATAAAAGTATTTACCACTTGGCAAACCAAGAGAGTCGGTGTGGACTGGTTCGGATCAATTCAGTTGATTAATTAGTAGTAGAGCAGAGAATGAAGTAAAAACAAGGACGACCCCTTCACAAACTTCATACTCATACCACTACTAACGTTTTAGATCCGATTATCCATTTTTATTAATGATTTGATGTGTCCTCAATTTCTTCGATTGTAAGGGTGTATGTATCATCTGTAATATCTACCTTCGAGCGTCGCCCTAGCAATAATGTACGAACTTCTTTCATAAAGTAATCTGAGATTCGACATTTAACTGCTATCAACCGGAACCTTGTACCATGAACAATAATGCTTTTTAAATATGGTAGCCTCATTACCTTCGTTTTCTTCTTTCCACGTTTATTTACAATCAATATTTTTTCCAGTAATTGACTATTCAAAGTCAATAGGGAATTCTCTAATTCGGAATCGTAACTAATATCCAAGGATATTAATTTTGTTAGCGCTGAAAAGTTTAGACGACGGTCTGAATCTAGTCCAATGATATTAAGTTTTCTCAATGATGGCGCATTATCAATCATTACTTGCACGAATTCTTTAAGACATATGTTGTTAGAGACATCAAGCTCAGTTAAGTGGTTTGTAACTTGTATTCTCATAAGTGGAATATTTTCAATAGTTTCTACGCTATATTTCAAGTTAAATATTTCTACATTGTTTTTGGCCGAAAATATTAGTGGCACCAAATCATTTATGCTGTGCTCATCATCCATACAATGCGAATCTTCTGACCTATAATAAAGCAAACAAAGGCTTTTATCGAGTAACTTAGATAGTAAATGTTTCAGGTCGATCCCTTTATTAGGACGATTTTTATACGTCAATAATAATTCTCATGTTGAAAAATGACACTTTTCTTAGACAATATCAATTTAATAGAATCTATGGAAAAGAACGTTAGTTAGAAATGAAATTAATTAAATGAAGACCATAACATTTTATTATTACAACAATTAGGTCGTCTTATGTTCCGGATGAATGTGTCATAAAAAATAAAAGTATTTACCACTTGGCAAATCAAGAGAGTCGGTGTGGACTGGTTCGGATCAATTCAGTTGATTAATTAGTAGTAGAGCAGAGAATGAAGTAAAAACAAGGACGACCCCTTCACAAACTTCATACTCATACCACTACTAACGTTTTAGATCCGATTATCCATTTTTATTAATGATTTGATGTGTCCTCAATTTCTTCGATTGTAAGGGTGTATGTATCATCTGTAATATCTACCTTCGAGCGTCGCCCTAGCAATAATGTACGAACTTCTTTCATAAAGTAATCTGAGATTCGACATTTAACTGCTATCAACCGGAACCTTGTACCATGAACAATAATGCTTTTTAAATATGGTAGCCTCATTACCTTCGTTTTCTTCTTTCCACGTTTATTTACAATCAATATTTTTTCCAGTAATTGACTATTCAAAGTCAATAGGGAATTCTCTAATTCGGAATCGTAACTAATATCCAAGGATATTAATTTTGTTAGCGCTGAAAAGTTTAGACGACGGTCTGAATCTAGTCCAATGATATTAAGTTTTCTCAATGATGGCGCATTATCAATCATTACTTGCACGAATTCTTTAAGACATATGTTGTTAGAGACATCAAGCTCAGTTAAGCGGTTTGTAACTTGTATTCTCATAAGTGGAATATTTTCATTAGTTTCTACGCTATATTTCAAGTTAAATATTTCTACATTATTTTCGGCCGAAAATATTAGTGGCACCAAATCATTTATGCTGTGCTCATCATCCATACAATGCGAATCTTGCACATAAAGAGCTTTCAAGAGATTCTCATTTTTTTTTTCGTAAGACAGAAAATTTACCAAATATTTAATAAGAACTGAATTGCAGTTAACTATTGACAAGGTTTGGAGACTTTTAGTACATGGTTTTTCCAAGAACCGGAGTCTTGTTTTTTGACTATTCAAATACAAATGTTTCAAATTACACATATTGTAGTCATTTTCCAAATTGTCACGAACTTTTAAAATGCGCAGAGTATTTATCTCAAAATATTCACTTAAAATTGTAAATATTTCTTTAGTTGCATCAACTCCGGACAGATCAATGATATCCAAATGAAGTTTTCCGTGTTTACCTCTAGATTTAGCGAGCGTAATCTGATTTTTCAAAAGTGCTGTTACGATGTGAGGACCAACATTTGATAATAGGCTAATTGATATACTAGAAAATCTAAACGTTTTAGAATGTTGAAGCATTTTTTTCAAACCATCTTGGAACTTGTACACAAACCATGTAGAATCAAAGTGCAACGACACATTTATACGCTTAAATATTAATTTTTCTGGCTGATTTAAAGCTTCGTAAAAGTGTATGAAATCCACAGATGACAAGATCTTTGATAAAATGAACAGTATATCGAAATTTTTCATTAATCCTTCATATAATATGGAATTATTTGTTTCTTCTGTTATAATTTCATCGTTATTGCATAAATCTTGTATATTTATATTTTCATGAGGCTGTTGAGATTCTAATCGAACACGAGCGTAACCAACCACTTCAACTGACTTTTTTTGGCTATAAAAACTCCACTCTAACTTGTTCATCAAGGCTTTTACCTGTAAACGGCAAGCCGTCTCCATATTGTGGCAATAGATACGTGCCATACATCCTTTTGCGAACGAGTAGCGAAACATAGATATTGAAACATCGTTAATTGAATGATCCGATAACATTTTTATCAAATCACACTTATTCATTCGTTTGTGTATATTGTAAATGAAAAAATGTTGTGCTACGTGATCTTCAACAAAAAGTACTGGGAATGGAGTTGATGTTGGCTCTCTGAAGGTATTACCCCTATTTACATAACGTATAATTCGTCTGTTCATACTTCTACAATGAGTTTCATATCTTTTTGTAAAATATTCTTTATATTCATCCAATAACAGTTCTACCATAATACATCGACTACGTTCCTTGCATTGAGTTTTTGGTAAGTTATTCCTGTAATTTCTTAGTGACTGGTATAAGCGTTCAAATTCTTCCATGTTTTTGTTCCTGAATTGTTAACAGAAATGTAAAATATATTGTAAGTATTTTTGAATGTTTTTATGAAATATAAAAATATTTTTTTTATTTAATTCGAAGGGAAAGAAAGCTCTAAGCCGGTATTGGTATTGGAAAAGTTGCTTCGCTTCGATTTTTTTTTGTTCACTAACCTCCCATAGAGATTAATTACCGAGATAATACAAATAGTCCAAGAGCTACCCAACAAAATGTGATGTCAAGATATACACACCATTTTTTTATGTGCGGTAGATCTTTTTCTGCCGATGCTAAATTATCCTTGCTATCGGCAGGTACGTGGGGCATATAAAAGTTATGGATTTTCCAAACAATTACTAGCGACGAAAGCCGCGCTTCGCGCGATTATTTTTTGACTCATTCACGTGCTATTCAAGTAAAAATTTTGGATATATTTTGAAATTCAAAAGGAATTCGACATTCTATATTTATTTATCAAACAATCAATCAAACTATTAATTCAATACATTATTGGACCCATATTTTTAACCGTGACGCATGCAAAAGTAACGAACTATAATCAAAATATTATCTCACGAGAAATGAAATTTGATGAAATATACACTTCCAATTAATTTATGACACCTATATCAAGAAACAAATTACATCTTAGAATTAGAGAATTAACAACGAACCGCAAGTCGCACGACCCACTATTTGTGGCTATTCCACGAGGATATGCACTGATGAAAACGTATGCCCTTTTGAATTTAAGCTATTCTTGCGATTTAAAATCGATATGCGAAAGGGCATACTTATATGTTATCGCATCATTATGAAAAAAAAAAAAAAAAAAATTCTTTGAAAATTCATAACTTTTGTATGCCCCAACTACCTGCCGACAAGAACACGGTGCATTAGTATCGGCAGAGAAAGATCTACCACATAAAAAAACGGTATCTTATGACACCACATTGGGGGGGTAGCTCTTAGATTATCAGTGTAGTGTCGGTCGAGAATGAAAATATTTACCTAAGACTTGTAAATGAAGCATTGACTAGATTGACTAGCAGTATCAGAGAATGAAGTGAAAACAAGGACAACCCCTTCGGTAAACTTCAATCTTTGTTACAACTAGTTATTGAAACGTATGAAGTAGTGGATAAACGATCAATTCTTCAGGACATTGAACTGTAAATACTTTAGCATGTATTTTATCGCAACGCCATTCTTCTAAATTATTGGTTTCCTCTACAATTTTAATGCCTAGTGAACTGCTCTGAATTCCTGACGCAACAAATGAATCTTTCTTCATTTCACATGTTTTTCCAGTGATATACATATATATATATTCTTATTAGGTTTGAAAATACTAACAACATTAATGACGGTACCATAATTAAACATAACGCAACTATTTCTGTCTCGTTGTAAATGAAGCATTGACTAGCAGTATCAGAGAATGAAGTGAAAACAAGGACAACCCCTTCGGTAAACTTCAATCTTTGTTACAACTAGTTATTGAAACGTATGAAGTAGTGGATAAACGATCAATTCTTCAGGACATTGAACTGTAAATACTGTAGCATGTATTTTATCGCAACGCCATTCTTCTAAATTATTGGTTTCCTCTACAATGTTAATGCCTAGTGAACTGCTCTGAATTCCTGAAGCAACAAATGAATCTTTCTTCATTTCACATGTTTTTCCAGTGATATACATATATATATATTCTTATTAGGTTTGAAAATACTAACAACATTAATGACGGTACCATAATTAAACATAACGCAACTATTTCTGTCTCGTTGTAAATGAAGCATTGACTAGCAGTATCAGAGAATGAAGTGAAAACAAGGACAACCCCTTCGGTAAACTTCAATCTTTGTTACAACTAGTTATTGAAACGTATGAAGTAGTGGATAAACGATCAATTCTTCAGGACATTGAACTGTAAATACTGTAGCATGTATTTTATCGCAACGCCATTCTTCTAAATTATTGGTTTCCTCTACAATGTTAATGCCTAGTGAACTGCTCTGAATTCCTGAAGCAACAAATGAATCTTTCTTCATTTCACATGTTTTTCCAGTGATATACATATATATATATTCTTATTAGGTTTGAAAATACTAACAACATTAATGACGGTACCATAATTAAACATAACGCAACTATTTCTGTCTCGTTGTAAATGAAGCATTGACTAGCAGTATCAGAGAATGAAGTGAAAACAAGGACAACCCCTTCGGTAAACTTCAATCTTTGTTACAACTAGTTATTGAAACGTATGAAGTAGTGGATAAACGATCAATTCTTCAGGACATTGAACTGTAAATACTGTAGCATGTATTTTATCGCAACGCCATTCTTCTAAATTATTGGTTTCCTCTACAATGTTAATGCCTAGTGAACTGCTCTGAATTCCTGAAGCAACAAATGAATCTTTCTTCATTTCACATGTTTTTCCAGTGATATACATATATATATATTCTTATTAGGTTTGAAAATACTAACAACATTAATGACGGTACCATAATTAAACATAACGCAACTATTTCTGTCTCGTTGTAAATGAAGCATTGACTAGCAGTATCAGAGAATGAAGTGAAAACAAGGACAACCCCTTCGGTAAACTTCAATCTTTGTTACAACTAGTTATTGAAACGTATGAAGTAGTGGATAAACGATCAATCCTTCAGTACATTGAACTTTAAATACTTTAGCATGTATTTTATCACAAGGCCATTCTCCTAAATTATTGGTTTCCTTTACAATTTTAATGCCTAGTGAACTGCTCTTAATTCCTGACGCAACAAATAAATCTTTCTTCATTTCACATCTTTTTCCAGTGATATATATATTCTTATTAGTTTTGAAAACACTAACAACATTAATGATGATACCATCATTTAACATAACCCAACTATTTCTGCTATCTGTGATATCAATTCGAAACGTGTCTGATTTTAAAATTTTATAATAATATGCATTTGGGTGGTCATTGACAATTACAGCGTTGGATGTCAGTTTTTCAACATCAAACTTACTATTCTTAAAAGCATATTGACTTTTTAAATTACTTGTTGACTCATATTCAGACAACCTTCTAGAAATTTGTTGCAACGGTTTCTCACCTTTTCTTATATATTTCTTTATAGAACAAATATAATTCTCGAATGGAAATGCGCTAAAGCTTTCAACTGTACCAAATTTTTCGACGTCTTTGCATAAATGTCCTATATTGTGGACATTGTAAGTAACATTGTTTTTCCCATACAATGTTTGAAATCCAAAAATAAATTTCATTGCTAAGGTTTGACATAATTTTATATTATTTTTATCACGAACCAATATTTGATTGCTGAGTATTATCATAATTATATGAAGTGTTAAAAAATTTTCATATACTGATGGATGAAGTACATCTTTGAGTATAAACGGACCAAAATACAGCAAAAAATGTCTAAATTCAGTTGCCTTCCACTTTTTCCAGTAGTCCAAAGATCTTGAACGTCTATTAAATTCAAATGGTAACATGTTCTTTAAATATTCCAGTCTCTTTGAAATTTTGTTAATCTTATTAATATTGAGTCTACATATTTTTCTTATTCTTTCTTTGTCACCAATCCAGTGTCTAATTAACTGCTTCATTATACCTAAATACACTAAGTGCATGACATCTAAAACTACATTTGAAACAAGACCAAAGTAACGTAACCGTCGAAAAATCGTTTCCCCACGTTGATAATTGTCAATATAATGCATGCTATTAAATTCATCATCATTTCTCAAGAAATCGTTGCAATATCTGTTTAATTCTTCTATGTTATCTGTGGGAAAGCAAACTGATGAAATATATACACCTTCAATAGTACATTTACTACAACTATAGTAACCCGAGTGACCTTTAGTACATAAAACGAAAGATTTAGCTGGAGCGTCCAAAATAAGTCTATCTAATCTTATTTTGTATAGCTTATTATTATATGAAAATCCATTGCTTATTAAATTTTCTAATTCATCTACAGTATTTTTTAAAAATATATTATGATCTTTCGGCTTTTTAGTACCACAATAGATGCCAACTCCATATACAGTATCTAGTTCAATATCTTTCATCGATATGATCCACAGACCTCTCTCAGATGAACTGCCAACAAGTGGAGCCCCATCTATATTCATTGACACTTTTACAGTATCGAAAACATCCTTACGCAAAAGACGAGCTTCGATAATTTTTTTAATTCCATTTTCAACACCTAGATGACAATACTCGCCACTATCCATATCGATAATATTAGTGGATTTTGGAGTTTTTAACAGTGTACGCGGATCTTTAGGGAACGGAGTACTAGTATTCTTATTTAATATCGCTAATAATAATTTCAAATGATCATGTTCAATTAGACAATCCTTGGCCCACTTAATTATTTCCTTCCGAAAATTTTCATCGTCATTAGTTGTAGGATTTGGCATTGTTACATCAAAACCATCATCCGAATGTACGTCTGAAATGGATTCCGCATCACTATTGCTAAACCGATATGCATCAGAAGAAGAGTATGAGTTAGTATCACTGTCGGTGGCATCACCATCGTCATAGTTATCGTCATTCTCATCACTTGAAAGAACATATTCAGGCTGAACTTCAAGTGCGCTTGTTGAGAAGTTGTTGTGCGCGAAAAATTGACTAAACAAATTTTCGTGAGATTCATCGCTATCATTTTCTCTGGTTTCAGGACATTCACTTGTTAAAATATCTGGTTCAAATGTTTGATCATTACATGGGGTACTACAACCCGCCTTAGCATTTGGAATAGAAGATGTAGAACGAAGGTATTCAATATTTTGAAGGTCGTACTCAGTTGTTTTTTTAGATAACCTTCTAATATGACGGTTGCTTTCTGGAGGGACTCCTTTTCTCTTCCTTGGCATTTGGTTCAATTCAACTAAATAAAAAAAAAATCAATAACGCTTTTATGCTTCAACGTTGGATATAAACATTCAAGAAACGTAAGTTACTTTAAGGGGACCAGAGGGTGTCTCGTAGTGAAAAATTGACACTTTGTTTATTGCCGCGTAGAAATCGTTCTACTAAAGATATCGATGTAAGACTTTTTTCAGCTGAAAGAATTCTATATAAGCTTTGATTTTTTTGCTACAAGTTCCAGAATAATCATTGTACACCTAATATGGACACAATAAAGACCAAGCTCTATTTTTCAAAAAATGGGGCTTTGCCACGCCTTTCTGAACGCCATAGTGGACAAAAATCGTTTTGTGAGAGCTCATTTTTTTTTGTTATGAACCGGACTACAGAATGAGCGGAGCACTTTTCTAAAAAAGATAATTCTTCCCATTTTTTGAGGATAATTTGCAAAAAAAATTTTTTTGAAAAATTAAAATTTCATATATTGGCTCAAAAAAATAGGAAGAATTATCTTTTTTATAAAAGTGCTCTGCTCATTCTCTAGTCCGATTCATAACAAAAAAAAATGAGCTCTCACAAAACGATTTTTGTCCACTCTGGCGTTCAGAAAGGCGTGGCAAAGCCCCATTTTTTGAAAAATAGAGCTTGGTCTTTGTTGTGTCCATATTAGGTGTACAATGATTATTCTGGAACTTATAACAAAGAAAATGAAAGCTTATATAGAATACTTTCAGCTGAAAAAAGTCCTACATCGATATCTTCAGTAGAATGATTTCTACACGGCAATAAACAAATGTTAGCGATTTACACGTATAGAACAAGTGTGCGTGCGTGTGTGTACGACCGGCGGGCGAGAGAGAACGATACAGTTCCAGGGACGATTCCGAATTGCGCTGATAGAGCGTGCGAGCGAATCAAGCCAAGAGAGGGTAGTCGGGATGCGAAGGCATTTGGCCGAGAAGCGCGAGTTATCCCCCCTCCCTCGAGACTCAAGCGAGTTGGGCCGTTGGCGTGGGTCAGAGAGGTCTGAGACGCGACAAAGGTCGGATGCGTGTAGGACTCGACGGCTGAGTGCCGAATAGTTGTAAGCCCTTGTATTCATATCTTTTAATTATTCATTAAAACTACTTAATTCAATTGATACATTTGATATATTGTGCAAAGGAAGCTAAAATCTATCGTAATGCAATGACTGTAGCACATTTTTTTATTTCGTCGAAAATTTCTTTTCATTCCCATAAAAATATGTAAAAACATCAGTTTTTCGGATATTTCAAAGATAAATCAATGTTGTAATTGTTTCTTCAACGTACAACTAAGAATTATCCTTACAAGGCAAATATGATGAAAAATATATTGGATAAGGAGGATACTGTAAATCAAGTAATTCTAACCAATGTTTTCCAAGACTTCTCTCAGCCTGACATAACAGACTACACAATTCTACATTGCAGCAATCAAGAGAGATGTTGAGGCATTCAAAATCTTAATAGACAATAGAGCTGATTTCACGATGCAAAATGCGCATGAATGTACAGTGCTTCACTACCTTTTTGAGTGCACAGCTGATAATAGCAGAATTGAACTGATAAATTATGCATTATCAGCCCATTTAAAATTAGCAAATTCAAGTAATCCTTGTAACAACAATGGTATTACCCACTTTCACATTACGTGCATGGTCAACAATACCCAAGCAGTGCAGTTCTTTCTGGAAAATGCAGCATCTGTGCGTCTAATTGTGAAAATGGACTCGCCTAGATTTCCAGGCTACAGCTCTTTACACTTCGCTTCTGAGGGTTGTAGCATTGAGACAATAAAACTGCTTTTAAAGAATGATATAGATATAAATGTAAAAAATGCTCAAGGCAGAACAGCTTTCCATATTTTTGTACAACAAAAAATTAATTCATGTGATTCTTTGA